GCAATCCACTTAAACAATCCACTTCTTTTAAATATAAATATTATTTCATAACTATTTCCTACACGAGAATTGAACGAGGAACATAATTTTCAGAATAATAAGGACGAGACTCTGTCTTGTCTCTAGCAATCTTTACCATAAAGAAGGTGACGCGTGAATTAAATAGAAGAAAAACATAGTATTATCTATTGATAGATTGTATGCAACAAAGTCACAAATTGCGCTGTTCGTTGAACGGATATAAACTAGAGCGGACGGTACAGTAAATAACACTTAACAATAGTGCTGTAAGTCCGTCAGTTGGATTCTCACTGCGTACTGCCAGCTATCAATTATGTAGTGCGACATCATTCGCTATTACCAACACAGGTCGTATTTACTTTACATTTTTTTCTAAAGAAACTATTTCATTATAATATAGGTACCTATAAATTTAATGATGGAGTTGTTACAGAAACTTATAAGAAGAACAGAATAGAATAAACGTTATTAACTGTTGAAATCTATCATCTATAACTAAAAGTGAAGGTGCGATGAATAAGTATTTAATCTATTAATGTATTGTGTATATATCGATGTTATGGTGATCGGAACCCACATATGCCCACTTTTTACTCTTTATAATCCGAATTCAACGTATGCCTATGTATATATATATATGCCCCTATATGTGTTATTATAACCAATTCTATCTCAATTTTCAACAGCAGTTTCAATAGTGCACAAAGTATATATATCCTCTTCAGGAGATCAAGTTGACTCTTGTATGTAGGTATTACTTATCGGGTTTTAAGAAGACAAAATAGTTGCAGATTAAAAAAAGAATCTTTAAAATCTGTTCACATTTAATACCAATAAATTTTATATAAATACCTACTTACCTATTATGTAATATTATGTTATCTGCACCTATATATAAATATAGGTAAGTAGTTGAATATCTCGGTAAAGGTTCTAACGTTTAAGATGAAAATTTATACTATGAGAACAATTTACTTCACAAGAAACTTTATCTATAGACTTTTCTGACAACAAAGTCATAAATCTGTTAACTACATAATTTTACTACAGCTTAGTATATAAACTTATACCAATTATCTATTAATCATAAGAAGACATGCTGGATAGCACTTTTATATAAAAAAGACTTTCAACCCTATACTTCACATTTATTATATTTCAATTTTCCGAGGAATCGTGTCTTTTACAAACCACTTCAAGTTAAACGCATTTAAAAAGACTAAATCGACATCCAGTCATATACAAACCCTCATTTGGAAGGAAAATCGTCTCATATCTTAGAGTTGAAAGTTTTTTTCCTGCAGATAAGTCCGAGTTTGCCTGACTAATTGTGAAGTATTTACGATCAGCACACTGCTGTAGGAATTAAGAGCCAATTCAGAATAGTAAGGTTTTTTGGTTGCCTCTTCGATTTATGAAGCCTGTAACTCTTTGAAGCCCTTTTAAGGTTCATGTCCGTCAGTTAAACGTTTCAATACGAGGTATATTATAGCGTATGTGAACAGGAAACGTATTAATAGCTGAATTATTTATTGTATGAGTTTTTCAATTGTTACATGTGCGATTAACATTTTGCTTACGTTAATGTGCTTACATGAAGTAAGGACATTAACGTAAGCTCTGATGTCTGATGAATAAATCTTTACATTGAATAATAATAACAATAACAACACTGGATCATTCACTTCATTGTTATGGGTACTAATTAACGGATAAAAATATTTAGATAATTTTTTTTAATACTTTATTCGTCATATACGTGGACGGATCCTACTAGTGAGGACGAAATATGCATATACTGGTGGTCACTACAATCTCCCTAATTGAATTTAAAAATTAAACTGCATTTAACAAATCATGTACAAGCTTCCTTATTTCTAAAAGAAATATTATCTACTATCCTAAATTAATTTTATTATCTTTGAAATATTAATTAAAATATAATAATTTTAATAAGATACTGACTATCTTAGTAATTCAAGACAGGTGTAGCCAATCTTACTACTGGGCTATATACTGATCATATAATCTGGAGGATAATACATGTTTTCAATTTTAACCGAAAGCTCAATCAGTTAAAATTCATGTACATCATTTGCCCATAACTAACACCGATTAGAAAATTTATATTATGAAAAATTAAAAATATAAAATCTACTAAAAAATAATTAAAAACCCAACTTCTTTTTTATTTTTATTATTTTACACTTTTTTTATATTTTATATATAATATACAAAGAAGAGTAGAATTAAAAGTGTTTTAATTTTATAATATGATGAAAAATAAGTAAAACATGCTGATAATGAGATTCTTAACAAGGAATATCTTTTTCCTGTCTCATTCTCAGGAATTTTCGTTAAATTGTAGACGGGACTATACAAGCGTTTATCATTAATTATTGATGATAAAGCGGAAATCTGGGCTCACAATAGTTTTTAGACCTGCAATCGACACCAGAAGATAATGATGCCCTAAAATCACAAAACCAAATACAGTCATCATTTAAAATTAAATCAGTTTTTGCTGATGGTACTTCGCATACTTATGTTAATGTATTGATACTGAAAACTTCTAGCGTCTTATACTGTGTGACCTCAATGGTTTAGCGGTTAAGCACACTTTTTTATCTTTCAGTGGTGGCGGATTCGATCCTTGCAGAATATAATTAAATATATTTCTGTGAATAAAATATACTTATATATATATATATATATATATATTTAAAAAATAGATGTTTCAATCTCTATTTAGTTTCGAATTAAGCTGTGTAATTTATCCAGGTTTATTTATTATTCATTAAAATTCTGTTAATTACACACTCGTATATATAAGCATGGTATTAAATATAACACGTAGGATGTTACTAATTTTACACTTCCTTCTGAATTTCTTCAGAGTTGTCGTTTGTAAAGATATTTCAATTTGATTACACGATACAAGCATAAATGTCGTAGTTGCGTCATAAATCTACGAAACAATCATTTCAACGCCTCAGCATCTCTACGTAATTACGCATCTCACCGCCAGAAACGTAATTACGTATCGATTCATCGATTTAAGGTCGCTCAGGACGAAGGAAATCGATACTAAATCGGAAACCACATCAATACCATAAGCATGTAATTAGAGTTCCTCCGAATGATCGGTGACCATCTGAGTGTTCCAAATGACATGGTTGCCGCCATTTCGCATTGTAATTTTGGGCTGCGTATGCGCACAGATTATAGAGTAAGCGGACATTAACGGCGGCCGGCGATGGCGACACACAATGACAGTCATCTGTCCACAATGTCAGATCAATATCGATGATTGAATTGATTTCTTTTACGATGAAATTTATCTTGTTTGTAATACTGCTTTTCGGTGAATTGTTCAATTTGACTCCATATATAGTATTAACAATATTGACATATTATAAAAAGCTTATTGATATTAAGTACCGGCAAGTAAATGTTATTGTATAAACAAAAAACAAGAAGATAAATTTATATGGAAACTACAATAACACAAAATGAAGCAAAAATAAAACGTCTAAATTTGTTGAGTATTGGAAAATACGCAAAAGACATTGAATTATAACCCTCTATATTTTACAAGTGCGTTGCAGGGATGTACGAGGTTCTAAATTTCATGAAGAATAATTAGATGAACATATCAGCTATCATGGCTTATTCACCAGGAATCAACGATGATGGTAAAACTCTCTTCCAGCGTCAGCGTTTCCTGCCTCTTACAACATGTCAATAGGGAATAGGCATTATTTGAAGCGTGTAACATCTTAGATCACATCATCACTGAAAGTGAGGTGTGAATGCGGTCAAACGCTCTCAAATTTTATAGTAATAAAAAATAGAATGGGGTCAATAATCCCCATTACAGACAATATCACTTCCCTCTCCCATTTTCAATTATAAAATAAAAATATAGTGAAATATAATGATACACAAGATAATACCCTCTTATACCCTCTCCCTCTCCCACTCTCATTTATAAGACTAAAATGTAGTAAGATATTATTAAAATACAAAAGATTTGTTTAACATCTAATGAGTCGCTTTACACAGCTACTACTTTAAGCTACCTAACAGCTATGTTTACCCGTATAATTTGTTTTACTATAAAAGTCTTCCGCCAAATCAATATAACAGTGGATGAGTGGATGCGGCAGTGATTCCTTGCGCGTCACAACTGTGGACTATGCGCCCCGAGTTTTGCCTTACGCGGGCGCAAAAAGCAGCGCCCGCGCCGGCGGCATCCAGCACTAATAACTAACCATATCGGTCGTATCCACTTTTTAGTGGTGCAATATTAAGTGGAAACCAGACTTATTTTACAGTACATTCGGCCAAGTGTGAGTGTCACAATGGGTAATTAGTTTAAGTACTAAGATAACTTTACAATACGTAATGAATGCTGCCGTAAAACTTTACGTGAAATTAAGAAAGATTTTAATTTGATGGTATTTTAAATATATATATATCCTTCGAAAATTATATATATATATATAAATTATATAAATTATATTTATCAAAATTACAATATTATCTAATAATTTTAAAAATAAACTTCATAATTTACAAATTTCAAGTGACATGAGATAATTTGTTTCGTGAATAATTCGTAAAAAAGATATGATATTTTGAAAATGACTCATCAAAATTGGTTTTCAGCTAGACTTTTCTACATTAGTGTCATTGTATTTAGAGTCCCGTCATGATTTTTACTTGGTCTGGTAGAGGCCTAAAGTTCCTCTTGTTTTTACAACATATTATTATGGATATACCTTAAAAATTATTTTAAATAATTGAATTACAATTTCATTAATTCTCGTAATTAAATTAAATTCCTTTCAACCATATTGATCTTGACATTATCGTACAATATAAAAGTAACAAGAAAATTTTCATTCAAACAGTAAAAGGTAAAGCATTCTCAATAACGAAAGGTTACACAATTAGTAAAGTCCAAAGCTACTCACCGGTAGTAAGGAAACGGCTGAGGAACATGCAGATCCATCGGCATCGACGCATGCGCATGTGCATGACCATAGTCATGCTGCATCATGCCGTGCATGCCATGTCCCAGCATGGCAGCCCAGTGAGACGATGCGAATCCACCCGGGTGTTCCATTATTAAACTTTGTTTACTCAACATTCACTGTTCCATTTTCAAAATTCACTCAATATACATCCAATATTCTTTGCATTTAGTTCAATATTCAATACATTTTTAATAAGTACAACAGCTGTATTCAATTTACACTGAGAAATACGAAAATAAAATATTAATTATTGTTTTAATAAAAAAATAAAAGGCACTCATATCACGATCACCATAATATAACTTACAAAGTTATATTACCTATATGTATATAATTTTTATATCATATAAAACTTAAGTATGTTACCCTTAACGGGGTGTAAGAAATATTTGTAATAATCCCTATACCTACCGCATTAAGTGCTCATGATAACAAAGCACATGACCAATCTCTATGGGCTTTTTTTGAAACCATTCTTATTAAATTGTAATAAGTGTTAGTTAACTATTCCATAATCATACGCAAGTAAGCCATTCGGAGTGGGATGTTAAAAATAAAATATATTTATTTAAAAGAGAGATGTAATTTAACAACAGTGCTGTTTGTTATTCTTTCACATAATGGATTTGAATGTAACTTTACAATAATATAACTTATACATCAGAATAACATATAGGCTATAAATTTTGCGTTGAAACCGTGGGTACAGCTAGTAGGTAAAATATAAAGTTAGAAATATAATATAGCGTGCCAGATAATCTGCACCCTGATTACGCCTTAATTACCTGGAATTTTATTATTATACCTATCCACAGATGTTTGTGCAAACGTAATACGGCCTTGAATTACCAGTATAGAACAAAAGCCAATAGAAATCGATGACTAAATCAACAATATGCTTGTCCGCTAATTACTGATCGTTTTGATAACGGGCGCGTGTTGGTTTAAGATTGGAATCGCAGCTTCATTTAGTTGGTCAGTATGGCACATGTACATTTTATTTGGTTATCGGTGTAATGATAGGTTTTTTTTTTACGCTACTGGGAACGGCAAACAAGCTGACGCTTAACCTCACGGTGATAAGTGGCAACCATGCTCCACCGCCTAATACATATAATAAGATAGATATCATATGATATGTACCAATATTATAAAGAGAGGAATAGAAAATAGTGCGCTATTAGTTTTGAAAACTTAAAAAAATTCCGGAATCATTACACAAGTTCAGCAAATTCTTTCTCTATTTGAAAAACATATTATTCCAGAATGGTAAAATATATAAAAAACTTTACAAAGAGTGAATTAAAATAAAAGTACTAATTGAGACGTCAGGTCTTCTCAACTGCAGTTTAAAAAAAATATGTTACGTGTATAATTAGCATAAAATTCTTACTATTTGGTATTATAAATGCTAAAGAATGATTGTCTGTCTATTGTATTTTAACTACTACTATTACTAACGACTAACTACTACTACTACGAAATGGCTGATAAATAAGTGTTTTTACTCAGTGAAAGATTTTTTACATGCAAAATAGATGACATTATATAATTTTTATTAATAACTATAAATATTAACATTAATTAATTAATATAGATATTTAAATATATTTGTGGGTATTCGTAATGTAATGCCATAATTTTACATTAAATTGAATATGATTTAATTTGAATATTTGCATACCTCTAAGGGGTGCTGCATGTCATGTACTTTTATTAGTTAGTAAGATCCGAAACTACCATGTAGCAAGCAAATAAATAAATATTATTATTATTATTATTATTACTAAATGGCTGAACAGACCTTAATGAACATTGACATAAAGCTACATTGTATTTGAGGACGGACATAGGCTATTTTTTATCTAATTAATGTTTTATAGCAAACGAAATAGAGGGTAATATTTAGTGTCCTATATAAATTATTCAGTCTGACTTCGAGTTTAAGATTATTATGCCTATTTTGAATTGATTGACTAGTCTAATCTTTAATAATAAGTTTCTAGTATATAAAAATAAGTTTTATCATATTCTACTGTTATAAATATTAATTAGGTAGACAAGTATAAATGTAATTAAAGCAAATAAAACAAAAAAAAATGAATGTAGGTACTACACAATTAAATTTCAGTCATCAAATAATTATTAATTTTTATTGTATCAGCATCGTTTCTCAGTCATAAATATAAATCTTATATACATCAATCTTACATCTTATAAATATTTGAAATAACATCTCTTCAGATAATAATAGAGATAGAGGAAGATTATCATCATAACAATCTAATGAAGTCCCATTGCTGGACACTGCTTTCTTCTCAAGTGAGATGGATTTAGCCTAATATTATATAGATTTTTTTAATATTTTGGGATTTCCTTTTCTTGTTCCGAAATGTTATCTGTTTCATTTTGCTCTTGTTTCCTTTGGATTAAAGGTGGTAGTGACATTGTATTTTAACACAGCATCACACCGAGCATTACCATGTATACTATACACTATATGACCATATAGTTTGCAGCAAATAGTGAACAAAATTATAGGCAATGAAGATTGCGCAATATAAGCTTTTGTTCGCAAAATGTTACTTTGCAGGTCATGTACTAAAATATAAATAAATTTCCATGTTTTGCTTGGGTGTATACCATGAACATTTCTATAGTATGGTTTAAATTAATACCGTTAATTATTCAAGGGTAATATTAGTTTGTCAATCGGATTTTTTTCTATACATGGATATGGAAAGATACATAAAAGAAAGTGAACTCTGATACGATTGCTGATAGTCAACAGTGTAATAAGATGATGTTCTGTGCCGATCTCAAATAATGAAGTAAGGCAGTAATGATGATAGTATATATGATAGAACTTAAATTTCACTATACTTGCACTATGTATCATATTTAGATATATAATACGAAAGTAGATTCAATTTTTTTTATTAATTAACTTAGTTCAATTATACGAATTCATACAAACTAATATAGAGTACTAAATATATAAAGTATATAGACAGTGGTCAGTACATTCTATAATACATCAGAAGACCCTCAGCTTGTTTACCATTTATCCCTATATTTGTAAAAATATAACCGACTGACCGACAATTTCACCTTTATACTATTAGTGTGGATTTTTATTAAAATAGTTGTGGTTTTATCTCATAGTGTATTCCCATCTAAAACCCTAAAACAAAGGTATTCAAACAGGAATACTAGTGTAGGTTTAACTTAGCAGAATATACATTTCATCTCTTAATTGTTGTCAAAATCTTGAGTTGATTTTAATTAATAAATACTAATATTTAGATACAGTAGAAACCTTTGTTAACATATACTTACGAATTCAATGTAGCGTCTTAATAATTATATTTCTTAGAGGTTCTCTATTTTTAACTATCTGATACTCGTGGATTTGTCAGATTTTTTTTTAGATACTTGATAGCCTATATCCGTTTTCGTGATACTGTCTTTCTTCAAGTCAAATTTTATTAATCATCCGTTCAGCCGTTCTGTCATAAAAAGATAACAAACAGACAGACAAGTTTATATAGTTATAATATTAGTACAGATAACCTGGTTATAAAATACTATTTGTGCCAGTTAAAGCTATGTATATACGTGCTTAGGTACCCATATATCGTAGGCTTGACTATTCGATATATTGACACGGCAAGTTTACGCAAGCGATTGTTTTCTGACAAATCGGCGTCTATTAGTGAAGTCCATATGTTATTTGCTTTCGGCTAAAGTATTTATTGCGTTAGTGTTTTGTTAACCTCAAGGAATTACAGGTTTTTTGTGTTTGATCAGTAATAACATATGTTTGTGTTTGCCGCGTGCGCAAGAGCCTGTAGCCGCTTCGTGTTTAGCGGTCCTGGGGTCCACTGGATGAACAATTCTAAAACAAACAAGCCTACGAAATACTTGACGCCGTCACAAAACTAAGTGAAAAGCTAACAGACACATTGCCTAAAACACGGGTATGTCAAGTGTTCGGAAACTTGTCGTTTCAATGATTCTATTTATATTATATTGTTACTTACTTATTAAAACTTAAATGAATATAGAGTTGGTAAAACCTTGTCTATACTATCACAATTGTAACTGCTTGCGAACGTGCAAGGGTGCCTTATATTTTCTTTAGACAGCGATAAACGGCGAACATGTCACAAGTACACAAATTAATAACAAACACTCATATCCACAATGTCAAAGAACCACACAAAATAACAATTCAGTCACTACACAGTTATAAATCACATTAAATCCGCCGCGATCACTGGCAACATCGAAAAAAAATAAAATGGAACGCGCGAATATCAACTGTCAAAGTTTTCCCGCGCGCGCATCGATACGGGCCGTGACACGCGCGTGTGCATACGTCACAATTAACATGCATTTTGGTAAAAGTCGTGGCGTGGTGGAAACACGTGTGCCGAGTCGGTCGGTCCAGCGGTCATTGAGAGGATCTGCTATCAAAACTATACGGCGGCGTGCGACGGCGGTGGATGTGTGCGCCCAACCGGCCCAGCGTACGCCAGGCATACGAAACAAGCCTGCAAGCTCGCTGTACGGGCACGGACTTGCCGATCTCCGGACCTGAACATCACGTCGCGTGTAATTGGGTTACGTTTACGTGACGCGGCCCGCTGTCACGTCGTGCCTAACTTGTGTTATGGGGGTGTGACCTAATTACTTTCGCTAAAATCTTCTCTTTACTGCCAACAAAAAGCTATAGCATTTTATTTGCTTTCGCTACACGATTACTGGACTGTAGCGAACTCGCAAATTGGTTTTATCGATAATGTACTTAAATGGTTCCTAAAAAAAATTTAACATGCCTCGTCTTTATCACTACTTCAAATTATTACTTCAAATTATACGGCTACATTTTTATAAAAAAAATTAAAGTCATGATTGTTTGAAGAAGAAAATTACATTATTAACGATTGGTTTTAAGAAGTGTATTAAATTCAGCATAATTAGGTTGTTGGTACAAGGATGATAATGGATGTGTTTACCTCTTTTGTTGGTACATCCAGTCACTTCACGCTCTTTAAAAATGCAAATCGACAATTATGCACTTAAACCTAATTGGTTTTCTGCTACATAACACAGTGTTACATATATTTTTTCATACTTTTTAACCGTTGTCTCAACTCACAAAATAATAAACGAAAAAAAAACCGCCATATCGCATACTTAATAATAAAATGTATTAACTCAACAGAAAAACATATGGAAAATTGACTATAAAGTTAAACACATAAAGTTCATTTTCCAAAATACTTTTTCTGAGTTAATGAAATTAATATTAGGCATGAGGTATTATTTTTCCCACGTTTTACATTTCCACCTTTGCTCTAACTCTAACGACAATTTTGACGTTTATAACTGTCTTAGTAATATTAAACTGCGTCATTGACGGCCAGTATCGTTTGAGCTTTACTTCCCCGCACTCCACATACTAATACTGACTTACCGGGGATAATACCTTCACTATTAGAGGTCCTGTAGAATTGGTCGGTATTTTCATAATTGCTTAGACTTATGACACATGTGTGAATAAGTCCTAACGGTTCTTTGGTAGTTATTGAAGGCTTTGTTGGTTACAGTAACATTACCTATGTTATTTTGTTACACGGTTTTGTTATATTAAATATGCTAATATAACATACCTACATAATAGTACCTATCATAAAAGATCTAATAATATCCTATATAAAATTCCATTATAACGAAATCTTTTTATGATATTTGGACAGAGCGTTGCTTAACTGACTATTGAAATAGAAATAACATGAAATTCAAATTGAGTTAAAATTAACTAATATTAATGAAGTGAATTTGGAACGTTTTTAGTGGTTGTGTGTGACAAAACCACTAAAAACGTCCAAGACGTTGTAGTCTTGGATGTAAGTGACTTTGGAACGTTCGCCTTCTTTCAGAGTAATAGTAAGAGAGTTAAGAAGACTTTCTAATCTTTGTGTTGAATACAACTATCAATATCTAAAAGATCGTTTGCTAAAAAAATGTACATTATCATTACAAATACTATTATAATAATAAATACTACTATCTTAATTCATATTGATTTGAAATGCGACTACAAGTTATGTACAAGGAATAGGCTATACCAAAACCAAAACTTTTCTATAGACAATAAAACATACACTCTGTAATTTTTTGCAGTATTAAATATTATTCCTTACAAGATCAAATGATCTTCTGCAGCACCGTATCCCATATCCCATATCCCTAGAAGACTAAATGAACTGCTGCATCAACAGATAGTCAAATTCTACTCTAAGTAAATACCTATATATAATAAACTGGGTACAGTAACATAGATTTACATAAAATGTATTTTTTTTAATTTTAAAATGAATATCCCTGGTGAATTTGCCATGATGAGCTAACCGACCTGACATCATGCTCATCTCATCGTCCTTCACTGCTATCCGCCACCATTAACACTTAGTGCTAACAAATGCATAATACCATTCATATCCATGAAGAAGATATCCTTTAGTCGTGCAACCGATTGTCAAATTAGCAGAAACGTTAAAGAATTACATCAAACAAGAAAGAGTCCGTAGTAATAAAATCGCAGCGTAATCAACTGGGCGCTAAGTAAGTAGAGCAAATTTCCTCATACAATCCAGTAATGTAGGTATACCTTTCAAACGATGAAAGAAATTCTGAAGTCAGTGCTTAAGTTCGAGTTTACTTTCTTAATGACAAAATTTGTTATTTCCTTTTATATTGATATACCTAGGTAGAGATAATAATACAACGTTTAAGATGCTGTACAAATAGATGCAAATTACTCTTAAACATACAATTTTTATAGACTTATTCACTTTACTGATGAATGAAGATAAGACGTGGGTACGTACAGTAATTTACGAAATCGATATATTTATAGCCGGTTATAAAAATGTTCGTAACACAAGCTCGCATTAATACTTTTTGCTGCAATTTCGTTTAATAGCCACATTACCCTGAAAATGTCGTTTCTGATGTTAATTTTTGTTATCGAGATCGCGCCGCCTGCAGGTGCATATTCATACGTTTTTAATATAACTCTAATGGGCCGAGTGAATTTTTAGTAATAGACGTAATGGCAATTCACCATATGAGGTCGACCACCACGCGGTCCTCCCTGGCAGTCGTCGTAAATAGATAATTCTAGATAAATTCGCCACGTTGACCTAAATAACCTGAATTTACTCTTAGTTATTTTTTATCTACTAACTAAATTTTATTAGGTAAACATAAAAAAAAATATCACTGTTCACACACTTTCTTGAGGCAATAAATAAAAGTTAACTTCCTTGTTACAATGTTGTCTGCGATATATAAATATTATACAGTTATTAAGTTATTTTAGAACGAGTATATAAAATCATAAGTGAAATTCTTATATCAAAATACATATAACTTAAACCAATGGAAGAAAAACATTAATTTGCTTTAACACCCTTTATTCATGCTCACGCATGCATTCAACAACTTTAGTTTTTTTCATTTTTTTTTCATAAAAACATCTTATACGAAGTGTAGGGGTAAAGGACCAGCATTAGAAGACCTCAATAGATTGTACAGATGCAGAGATCTGTTTGATGTCTACAGACCATCTCATTCTGGACGGATTATTGTGATGATACTACCTCAAAAGGATGTAAGTCTGATTTACTGCTTTAAGTATTATCACTCCCCTGGATTAAATTTACATAATATATATACATAACATATATATTATACCTTTTTGGTATAAAAATTCTTTATTTTTATATAAAAAAGGTTGTTTAATATGCTTTTTTCCTTTTTTCCAAACACAGCTTTCGAAATTTAAAAATCTTTAAAAAACAAAATGCTTAGTCATTAACATGTTACTTATTTAAAAATAGAACAGAATTCGATTTAAAAAATAACAGCACCCATCTCTGCTCAATAAGTGAGTGAGAGCGGAACAGATATACATCAGCTGTGGCGTTTAAATTTCGAACAGCGTGCGTCGATTGGCCGCCAGGCACGTTCGGAAGGCGGTGGGCGCGACGACACATCCGTTAGGCGTGGTCACGTGATAACGTGTAAATTCTGAACTGATAGACAATGTAAATTAGTTTAGGTGCGTTCAGAATATCAGTTGAACGTCGCTCGTAGCAACATTGCTACGCCGTAGGCAAGTCAAATCAGAAACTATTAGTATGCATAAGTAAGTTGGTTATTATAAAAATTGTTATTTAACAAGTCTAAGTTAAAATATTTTTCTACTTAGGACAAAATTAAGTAAATTTTAATTCTATCCTGCGCAGTTCTGCAGCTTCTGTGCAGGCTGCACTGGACAAGATATTTGTTCATAAAAAAATGTTCAATGAAATTAATTGACTTATTCTAAAATAACCAAACTATAGTGGACAATGATCAAAATAATTTTCTATTATTCACAAAATTAAACTAAATAAATATCCAAAATGCTTTAGATTGGTAATATTGCAGAATGTTGGTAGTCACATATTTAAACTTTTTTTCAGTACAGCTACTTCAGTTAATAAGAACTGGCAAACTCAACTGATAATAGAGCCCAAAACAATGATTGTTAGAATTTTTGTTTGTTTTGCAGTTAATATGCTGTTCTGTTAATATGCTGTTCTATATGTGCACGCTAATCTCAGAATTGGCTTAACCGATTTGTTTGCAGCTTTCACTAAAGGATAGTGATTTTAAGTGAATGTTCATTTAAAATTTTGAGTAGTTTTATTTCAATCAGTTTTGTTCGGGTTGTACCGAAATTATAAAAAGATATATAATAATTCATCATTAAATAATAATAATAAAAAGATATTGATAATAAAACTGCTTAATGACAAATGAGTAGTTCGCGTACCTACTTATTTCTTTGTTCAGGCGTTCTCGATTACAATACTGATTTTTGGCAAACTATGAAATGTTGACGTTGTAAAATAATGTACGATGCTAACTTGTACAAGTTTATAAACAAAAAAGTGATATAAATTTCGTGCCACTGGTACCTATAGGAAATCACGGGCTCAGCTAGTATGTAGACACCTAATAAAAATTCATTTAGGATAATATCATAAAAAATAATCTAATATAATCTGAAATTGTGTTACAGAGTTACGTGGTACATAACTTATGACATTCAAACATACAGTGCTACTTGCTATATAGATATAAATATGTCATCTAAAGTAGGTATAAGTCCAGAGTCCTTGACCGACACACCGCAGCCTCAAATAATAAATAACAATACAAACAAAAGTAGCCTCTATAGCCTTCAGCATAAAGTTCAATTACAGCAGCAGTAAAGTTGCTAGAGCATTAGGTATGCCGAGTGCGTAGATAGGGACCAATCGATGAAACAAGGAAATGAAAACTAAGAACTGTAGAATTCAGGATATCGTAATATTGTAAGTAATAATGCATGTAAAAATTTCAGTGTCACG